CCTGTCAGCTTGCATTGTGTCTTGCTCTGATTCGCATTCACCTGTTGTATTGACCTTGAGATATTCATTCAGCGAGTTAGCCAGACATGATAACGGGACTGAGGTAGAATCCGACTGGAGAGAAAGCAGATATCACGGAGCGTCATCGTCTTTTGTAATTTGGCGTTTTATTCGTCAGTGGAACGACTTTAGCCTGCTGTTACGTTATTTATCACAGTGTCGCCTTCGACCTGTGTCATGATTGAATAGACAGTTTTGTGTAACGCGACTGAATGAAGACGCATTAACTTAACAAATAATTAACTAAAAGTTCGATTGTCACGTATGTATTCTGGAACACACGGCTGGGTACAGTCTTTCTTGTTTCAGCTCAATAACATAAACGGATGCTACATGGCATTATCCATTGTTACGAGGAGAAAGTGAAATAGATTTGGTCCAATGGGACTGGAAGAAATGTGAAAGGCGGCCAAGGAAAATACAGACTGCAAATAACTCAAGCATATCGAGATAATTTGTACTGTTCACTGCCTGTCTCTTGAAACTAATGATGGACTGTCTTCCAGGTGCTTGTTCTACATATTCCCCACTTCAATAAGTGATTTTGCCTTCCAGTACCACAACACAGACATTGAGGGAAATTGTCGTTTTGCGCTCGTCAACTGTTTACGTTTCAACAGCGCCACGATCGGACGGGCGATCAATTAACACAAAACTTTTTCAGCTGTTCTTTCGAACAATGCAATGCTTTCCATGACATCTTTAAAACTTTGTGATTTATGGCCACTGTGTTTCTCAAATGCAAATAAGTGTCCAAAGAGATATGTTTGGTCAGGGAAGAAAAATGGTAAGTTAAAAGGATTGTATCGAAGAGGAAATATGTAGACTGTCATATTGGAGACAGCTGCGGTGTATACGAAGTAATTGGCCTGTTAAAGCAGATGTGAGAGGAGGTCGCTGTCTCGTGAAACACGAGAACAAGAACCGGACGTAACCTGCTAAGGTCTCGTAGCGTGGGAAGAAATTATTAACGCATTCGTAACCAGTAATTGAAGGACGAAGAGTTGAGATTAAAAATATTAAAATTCTTATGTAGTTTTACTAAACTGCAGGCCTGCAAAGTGAAAGGTAAACAAAGAAAATAAAACAAAGTAATGTGGAAAATAAATGTAAAGGAACAATATAAAGTAACTGCAGTTTCTTATACGCTTTGGAAACAAAACGTAACCGAACGAGGCTAAAGTTTTTTGTTTTGTAAAAATAGCTTACATTCATTTGTCTCGTTACATGCAAAAAAAGCTCGACCTCATAACGATAGAATGGATCAGGAATTACTTTGAAATTATTCCACATTGTACTTTTGGGGGATTTTATATATTGCCGATGTTTTGAAGACAATATTAAAATAGAGTTTAGACATGGATTGTGAGGTCAGTAACTCGATTGACCTGACTCATTCATTGTATCCGTGCAACAGCAGTCTTTGGTATTTGTGATTTTGAAATGTTTGCGTTAGGTCTGTATTTATGTAATAAATTAATTTTGTATATTCAGTTTTGTGTATTCAGTTTTTTGTTTGTTTGTATCTGTATTGTAAGGTTTGTATTTATGTTAGTGCTTGGCTGTTATTGGCGTTTAGGCTGTTGTCAAGCACTTTAATAAATGAATTGAATTGAATTGAATTATAAATATACGAATGAAGTTCAGTCACTTTGCTTATAACACACTACTTTTACAAATTTACCAACTTATGGATATGATAACTAGAGCTGGTTTTGTCCATACGTTAATTCATAAAACTAAAGCGGCCTGGACCACGAATTGGGATCGGTCAGCAACACAACACCTTTCGATCTGCATTGTCTGGCATTCAGATGAGCTAAACCTAAAATAAATAAATAAATCGTGTGGCGCCGTGTTTGGTTTGTGAGATGTAGCAACATCTCTTTTAATAATCCTAGTTTACTGACAAAAATCCAGTGGAACATCGATATAACGCGGGTTTTGGGGGATATCTTCAATACTCGCGTTATATGTGAAATATATATTTATCTAATTTTGTAATCCCTGATATTATGTATATTTATTCAGTGACTGAAATACATGAAATTTAATGTATATTTTAAACTTATGTTTCACCAATGCTACTGGCATAGACCACTCTGATTTACTTAATATTTAAGCCTCTTTACGAAAATAGTCACGTGATGTTGCAATACAGTCTTATAATGTAATTAAAACATTTCATAGAAATTTGTACGTCAAACATGTGTAATCGTATTGGGGGGACATGATCACAGCCGCGTTATTTCGGAGTCCGCGGTATATCGAGGTTCCACTGTAATTTTAGATTTCAATTTAAGTTGCATTCCCCATATGCCTGTCTTGTCGTCATGTATATTATAATTATTATTTTATTATTAATATTATTACTGTTATAATTTTTTTTTCCCAGAGGTGAACCCCCTCACTAAAGTTTCGGACTGTAGCACTTTTCTTATTATGTGTGATGTTCCTAGTTTTTTGTACTAGAAAATCTACTTTTTGCTTATCTGGTGTTGGTTTCGTTGCGATTTCCTTGGTGCCAATGATGAACTTGACATTCGTTGAATTGCAATGCATAGACTTTTGTAAACTTCTTTTTGGTCTCCTTCTGTCTTAGATTCCTATCTAATTGTATCAGAAAGAAAATTTCATCTTTCAATTACTGTGCCTAGCGTATTTTCCAAAACCTCTTTATTCTTGTCCCTGTGGTCCATTATTATTTTGATCTTAGGCAGGCCTCAGTCCCTCATCTATTCTTTTGAAAAAGCTAAATAACTTTGGACTATCTCCTCCTTATGTCAAGTGGTTCCAAAGTTATTTATCATCCAGATCTGCCTTTGTTCGCATTTTAGGACAGTCTTCTTCTTTCTACGCGGTGTTATCTGGAGTTCCACAAGGCTCTACCTTGGGACCTCTCTTATTTAATATTTTTATTAACGACCTTTGCGACAAAATTAAGTATTCTAAATTTCTCTTATTTGCCGATGACTTGAAACTATATCACGATATTAAATCTGTGCATGACTGCAGAGCTCTTCAAGCAGATATCAATTCCGTACATGAGTGGTGTAATGATAACAATATGGAACTTAACATAGAGAAAACCAAAATTATATCGTTCACACGTAAAACCAACAGTATCCATTTTAATTACATTGTTAGTGACTTTTTAATCTTGCGTACAAATTGTATAAAAGATCTTGGTGTTTTGTTAGACAGTAAACTGTATTTTCACTGTCATGTAAATTGTGTTCATTCCCAGGCACTAAGGACCTTAGGGCTTATTCGTTTTATTACTTATAATTTTTCCTCTCTAGACAGCCTTGTTGTTTTATATAATGCTTTAATTAGGTCAAAGCTTGAGTATGCCACGGTCGTTTGGAATAATCTTACACAGACAGATTCTAATAAATTAGAAAATATTCAAAGAAAATTTGCCAGTTTATGCAATTACCGATTTTTCCAGTTTAATATCCCCCGAAAATATGAACTGATCCTATCTACTTTAAATTTTAGAACACTTTATTCCAGACGACGACATCTCGATGCGTTATTTCTTATTAATGTATTTAAGGGCAAAATAAATTGCCATTCCATTATGGACGCTGTTGGTTTACGTGTGCCGGCGAGGCAAATAAGAGAATTTTCTACTTTTAGTGTGAGCAGTGCACTAAGACATAGTCCTTCAGC